TTTATATAGAATATAAATGTAATACAATATATATACTAATCTGTATAGTTGTATATAATATATAATTATATGTACAATATATATAATATATTATACAGATTATATTATATTACATACCGCAGACCTCCAAACACACCTGAGAATGTTATTAAAAATATATATAATTAATATTTATCTATACAATTATATATATTATATACAATTATATTATATATAATATATATTTATATATCTCAGACCTCCGAATACACCCGAGAATGTCTGCTGCACATTTCAAATATTTCGCGAAGACGAATCGAAAATGTCGAAGACGAAATTAAAATGGGTCAAAGCGTTTGGGTGAAAGTAAGAAAAAATATTATTTGTTTTATTTTATTTATTTATTCTTTTATTCTTTTATTTTTATTATTAAGTACCTTTAGTTTCTTTATGTTAATTAACTAAGCGCTTGGATGAAAGTGAGCAAAAATATTATTTATTTTGTTTATTCTATTTATTTTATTTTATTTATTCTTTTATTTAATTCTTTTATTTTTGTTAAGTTTTTTTAATTCTTTTATTTTTATTCATTACTTTTTATTCTTTTGTTTTATTCATCTCTGTTTATTCTTTTGTTTTATTAACTACTTTTTATTCTTTTGTTCATCGCCTTTTATTGCTTTGTTGTTTCTTTAAATGCTGTTTTGCTTTAATTTTTCCTAATAACTGCATTTAATAATAGATATATATATGTATAGATGTATATGCATATATATATATATATATATACAGCTATGTGCATTTGTATATATATATATATATATATATGTGCAGGTGCTGAAAGAAGAAGCAGACGGCCGCGTGTCTGTTTCGATGAAAAACATCAATCAAGAGACTGGCGAAGAAGAAGAAGAAATTCGTTTCAATGCATTTGGAAACAGCAGCAGCAGCAGCAGCAGCAGCAGCAGCACTCTAAGGCCGGAGCTGGATTCAATTCATCACGGCGTTGTTAAAAAAATTCAACCCTTTGGGGCTTTTGTTGCTGTAAGAAATTTTATTTTATTTTATTTTATTTTATTTTGTTTTATTTTACTTTGTTTTGGTTTGTTCTATTTCTTTTTTTAATCTTTTTTCGTTGTGTTATTTTCTTGTCATCTGTAGTGCTTCGTCTTCTTTGGGTTTGTTGTTCGATATATATATATTTATATATGTTGCCGCTGCTGCTGCTGCTGCCGCTGCTGCTGCTGCTGTTCCATCTGCTGCTGTTCCTTCTGCTGCTGTTCCTGCTGCTGCTGCTGCTGCTGTTTGTGCTTTAGCTAGAGAATTACGATAGAATGGGTTTGCTGCACATTTCGAATATTTCTGCGAACAAAATCGACAAAGTCGAAGATGTACTCGCAGTTGGAGACAAAGTTTGGGTGAAGGTAAAAATATTTTATTTTATTTTATTTTATTTTATTTTATTTGTTATTATATTGTATTTTCTTCTGTTCTATTTGTCTTCATTTTATTATACTTATTTTGCTTTGTTTTGTTTTTAGTTTTGTTTGTTTTTATTACGATTTGTTTCTAGCCGTTTTAAAGACATTAAAATGCATTTAGAAATCACCAAGAAAAACAACAAAAATAATAAATAATAATAATAATAATGCACATAATAATATCAAGTAATAATAATAATAGTAAATGCCTACGATACTAGAAAGCTTTACTATAATAATAATTTTATTATTATTACTATTCTTATTCTTATCATTATTCTTATTGTTATTATTACTAT